CAAGCTTTATCCCAGGCCTACTTAATTAGAAACAATTTGTTTTAACAAGTTCTCTAGGTGATTCTGATGTACAGTAATATGCTTGGAAACCACTGCTCTAAACAAGTTCTCTAGGTGATTCTGATGTACAGTAATGTGCTTGGGAACCACTGCTCTAGTGTAAACTGGGTTGATTCTCAAGCCTTATCCCAGGCCTACTTAATTAGAAACTAATTAGAAACAATTTGTTTTAACAAGTTCTCTAGGTGATTCTGATGTACAGTAATATGCTTGGGAACCACTGCTCTAGTGTAAACTGAGTTGGTTCTCAACTTTCCCCAATCCTGACTTTCTTGGGTCTATTAAGTTAGTTACCTCTTTAACTCTTTCCTTTCCAGTTTCCAAAATTTTTGTTGCCATTTTCTCTTCTCCAGTTTTCCCCATCTGTGTGGATTAATACCTTTTTAAAAAATCCCTTTATTGTGGTTTAAGAGAGGTTCAGGAGGGAGCAAAATTAGATGTCTGTGCTCAGTTTGCCATAGTTACCTGGAAGTCTGTATTCACTCTTCAAGTGTTTTCATTCCCAATAAATATGCAGTTGCTCAGGTACTCAATAACTATGTTACCAAATCCTAAGGATATTTTAATTCTCATCTAATTAGACATCTCAACAGTTTCAACCTATTTATTTCCACTTTGAAATACTCTTTTTAAATTATGGGACACCTGTTTTCCTTTACTTGCCTTCTAATGTTGGAGTTCCTCAGGACTTGGGCTTTCTAGGTAATTTTACCTATTCCTATGGCATTACATACTGTATCTCTCTTTACCTTGACCTCTCTTCTGAACTACAAACTCATATTTAACAGTCCAATAGACACTTCCACTTGGCTATTTCACATACAAATAAAAATTAACATGTCTAAAACACCCCTGTGAGCCCATGCCTAAATCCTGTCTGCATCCTCTTCCCACTTCATAAACACATTTCCGTACACTCAGCAACTTAGGTGAGAAGCTTCAGAATCATTCCTGATACTGCTTTCTACTCAACCCCCACATTCAAACCATCAGCCAATTTTCTCAACGTTCACTGCAACGTTCACTGTTTTTTCACTGCAAGTGAAAAAATATTAGAATACATCACATGAAATAAAACTTTTGTCTCAGTTTTACATATTTATATACATGTGTATGTCTAGGTCTATGTGTACATACACAAGTAACAATAGTGAGGTCAAAAGTTTGAAAGCCACTGACTGAGGTAGACAGACCAGTTTGAAGGCCTTAAGGGCAGGAAAGAGCTTTGTAAGTTGTAGGAAGAGAAAGACGACCAGCATGGCTAAGTAAGCACTGGGGAGGAGTAGCATGAAATGAGGTAGGGAATGTATATAGTTTTTGTACATAAAACCTTCAGCCAAGTATCTTAAATCTGGACTTCCACTTCTATTCTCATCATGGTTCATCGAGAGACAACATGGGAGAATCATCTCCCTGCTTTCATATGATTTTGAAAACTGTCACTAAGAGAAGTTAACAGTTACACTAACATGACTGAAAATAATCTCTAAACTAAGAATGTACCTTTATATTCTTATGTACCTGTACATTTTACATAATTAGAAAAACAAAAAAGAAAACCAAGTTCATAAAACTTTAGGGGCCCTCTAGTTTGTTTGAGATCCTCCTTATAATGAAAAACTTTCACGTTAGTTGGTAGTATTTAATTTTGCAAATCTCTTGGCTATAAATACAAAAAGGAATGGTATAAACAGGCCACCTAAGTGAAACGTAGAGAGAAAAATCAAGAGACTGGGACTGTAGATGTGGCTCTTCCATTATCCACATAAGTGGTTTTACAACAATTTAACCTCTCTGGGCTCTCAGAATCCTTATGTGTAAAAAAGAAGGTGGAGCAGGTGTTCAATAAGGTCCCTTCATACTGTAAAATTCTATGGTTCTAAGTAATTTTAGAACCAGTTACTATTTATTTATTTTTTATGTTAACACCTTGCTCATAGAATCAGTTACTACTTTAGATGTTACAAAAGTTAACCTGGCGTATTATCAGTTTTTTAAAAAGAGGAAGTTACATGGCATACAATGAAGATAATGTCATTCATTTTACAGTAGATGACAGTGTTTGAAGAACTAGAAGACAAAGCCAAAGTTATCTGGGAAATTTATGTTGTGCTTAGGTTGATCTGCACTTTGGAATTGTGTGACCTTTTCACATCATGAGATCAGTATCTTGATAAATAACGAACTTCCTGAAAAGTTTAAACCTCAAATCATGTGTAATTATAGCTTGACAAAGACTCTCGAGGGAAGGTAAATGGAAAGTGAGTTGGCAACACAACTCACCTACAAGTTCTCCAATCATGAAAAGTAAATAAAGAACGGCAGCAATGGTCAACCTGGTTTTCACCTTTCTCTGCTTCAGTAACTCTTTCTGTTTGCTGCAGTTGTCACAGGGGTCCACCTTCAAACTCAGCTGACTGTTGGTCAAATTTAAGTCCTGGTCCAGTAAGGAATCATCGTCGGCCTGGAGGGCCGAGTGCGCCCCGTTTATAGGCCTTTCCCGGGTTTCGGAACCATCATCGGCCACCACAACTCGAAGTTTGTTAAACCTAGAAAGCCCCTCGTCCCCCACCTCATCGGAGAAGTCAAAGGCGCTGGTGTCATTCAGAAACAGTGGCGCATCATCCTTCCTCAGCAGAGATTTGAAGCGCTTCCACGCGCCAGAGCCGGCCATGGCAGAGGCTGAGCGGCCGCGGCGCGGAACGGCTGGGTGCAGGCGGGCGGTCTGCGGCTCCTACTTCACGGGAGCGCCAGTTCCCGAGGGCAGTGCCGCGCGTCCCTCCCCATCCTGTGGAAAACAAAACACGGTATAAATTAAAGGCGCCCAATGCTGCCTGCAAGTTCTGAAGCAGCGGGCGGCGGGGCGCAGGGTCGGCCCCGAGAAGCCGCCGGGGCTCCGCGAGGGGGCGGCGCATCTACCTGGGGCGCTGCCGCGGGGCCGCCG